AGAGTGGCAGGAGGCTCTTTTGCATTCCTTGGGGTCCACCCAAAAGCCCAGAGCAGTCTGTCCTTGCCCACAGGCTCCCCAAATCCCTGAAATCTGAATGTGCCCTTTGGAGGCCCAGGCTGCTGCTGTGGGAGGCAGGTGATGCAGAGAGACTTTAGGGGATGGCGGGGGGTGGGGGTGGGGTGGGGACAGATAATCCATTTCCGGCAACCGGGCTGCAAGCCTGTAGGACGGGCCTCTCCTCTTGTTTCTGCATGTGCCTAGACAGATCCTTTCACTCCTGGGGCCTCAGTTTCCCCATGCATGATCTATGATGAGATCATGTGCTATGTAAACCAAAACACCATCCCACAGCCATTAGGAAACAGGCTTAGTGAGCGGAAGGGCCTTCTCTCTGGAGCCATTAGCCATCTAAATGCAGACCTGACATAGACCTGCTTCCTGGTCCCAGAAGGAGGGCCTGTTTTGCTTTGTTTTTTTCTGAGACAGAGTTTTGTTCTTGTTGCCCAGGCAGAGTGCAATGGCGCAATCTCGGCTCACTGTAACCTCCTTGTCCCAGGTTCAAGTGATTCTCCTGCCTCAGCCTCCGGAGTAGCTGGGATTACAGGCACGCACCACCACACCTGGCTAATGTTTCTATTTTTAGTAGAGATGGGGTTTCTCCACGTTGGCCAGGCTGGTCTTGAACTCCTGACTTCAGGTGATCCTTGGCCTCCCAAAGTGTTGGGATTACAGACGTGAGCCATCCCACCCAGCCCAATATAAAACAATGTTTTAAATTGCCTACTTCCCCCTTATCTGCTAAGACCCTTTTTTTTTTTTGAGATGGAGTTTTGCTCTCGCCCTCCCTGAAGTGCCCCTCACCATGATTAAGAATGGGCAAGTGAATAAGCAGAGGTCTGGAATTCTGGGCATAGACATTTCAATGCAATGGCGCAATCTTGGCTCCCCGCAATCTCTGCCTCCCAGGTTCAAGCGATTCTCCTGCATCAGCTTCCTGAATAGCTGGGATTACAGGCATGTGACACCACGCCCAACCAATTTTGTATTTTTGGTAGAGACGGGGCTTCTCTGTGTTGGTCAGGCTGGCCTTGAACTCCTGACCTCAGGTGATTTGCCTACCTCAGCCTTCCAAGGTGCTGGGGTTACAGGCATGAGCCACCAGCCTTGGCCACCCTAAATATTTGAAGCTGGTGCTCTAGGAGGTTTGATTTGCCGCTTCAAGGACTTCGAGTGTGTCACCATCTCTTCCCAGGCACGTGGACCCAGATCTGATGGACTGTTCATCAGAAGGCCCCTCTGAGGACAGGGCCTCTTCCTAACCTTGGTGGGCTGCAGCATAGGGGGTGCCTGCCTGGGATGAACCCCACCTTCAAGAAGGCAGCCCAGAGCCCCTAACCCCCCGAGCCAGTGGGAGGCAGGATCCCCATGTCTTGGCTGAGAAGGCCTGGGGTGTTACCCTAAGTGCCTTGGGGAAAAGCAGGGAGTGAGACCCCAGCTCCAGGGTCCCAGGCTCAGTTGAGTTGGGGCTTTGCCATATGATTATAATCATCATCGCAGCCCTCAAGTTCAGTGTTTTAGTGGAGGAGCTGTGAGGCTGCCCCAGGCTGGGTCTGTGTGTCTCCTGAGCCAGGTTCCCATAGCATCACCGCCTAGTCTGTGACCTCGGGTGAGTATCTTTTGGAGCACCAGTTTCCTGATTTGTAAAGCAGAGATGAAAGTGAAAATATCAACAACCTCACAGAGTTTTTTAAGACAGTATCTAGCAAGTGAGTGCTCAGCAAATAGTAGTGAGTGCTCAGTAAACAGTAGTGAGTGCTCAGCAAACAGTAGCGAGTGCTCAGCAAACAGTAGTGAGTGCTCAGTAAACAGTAGTGAGTGCTCAGCAAATAGTAGTGAGTGCTCAGTAAACAGTGGTGGGTGCTCAGTAAACAGTGGTGGGTGCTCAGTAAATAGTAGTGGGTGCTCAGTAAACAGTAGTGGGTGCTCAGTAAATAGTAGTGAGTGCTCAGTAAACAGTAGTGGGTGCTCAGTAAAGAGTAGTCGATGTTGCCACTGCTGGCATTCCCATCACTCCCCCAATGCCCAGGAGATGGCTCAGGCAACCTCCACTCCTCCTCGACGGGGTTACCTCCCACTTCTCTCGTCCGTGCTCCTGCACCTGAGGAGTACGAGGCACCAGGCCACTGCAGCAGGCCCACAGGCCATCAATGCTTTAATTGTGTCAGAGGCGGGCACTGGGCAGCTGTGCTGAGGTCTCCCCAGCAACTGGGCCACAACCAGCTCGGAGCTGCCACTCCAACAGCGGAGTGGAGAGCTGGGGTCAGGCCACAGCCCTGGGCTGGGGAGGCCTCTGGCAGGACCCAACCCCAGAATGAGTGATCCTCACATCTGTGGCCTGCAGACTCCTTTTCCTTTTGCCAAGGAGTCTGAGATGCTTCATGCCCATCAGGTCATGGGGTGGCCTTCATGGGAGACCTGCGGGGCCAGGCTGGCCAGACATGGCCAGAAAGACTTCCCAAGGCAGGTGCTTGGCTCCCTGCTCCAGGGTAGGCCCTGGTGTAGGACCCTCAAAGGGGTTGTGGCTGGGGTGGTCCCGGGGGGCATTGCTCCAAGTGCACATGAGGTGGCAGCAGGGTCAGGCGAGTGCCGGTTCCAGGGACATCAGGAGGGAGGGTAGAAGCCCAGGGAGTGTGCAAGGCTGCTGGGATGAGGGAGCTCAGGGGCTACCAGCTAACCAGCCTCAGCTCAATGGTTTCTCCATCCTTGGGTCTGTAGTCAGCAATACCTGCAGAAACAGATTGAGCAAGGCGGGATGAACTGGGCAGAATATCGCACCCCGCAAACTCATCTTCCAGATCTCCCCACTCTGAGGCCAGGGTCTGTAAGATCCACCTGGGGCTTGGTGGTGGGAAGCTGGAACCTCCCCAAAGCCCACTCAGAGACTCTGAACTTAGCTTCCTACAGGGTTCCAGAGGCCATGGGCTCATCTGGCAGTAAAAACTCCTGACAGGCAGGGTCACTGTCTTTGTAATATCCCAGGGGGCATCAGGGAGAGAAACTTGCCCAGTGTGGTCTGAAAAAAGAACCAGGACCACGCATGAAGCCACCCGGAGTCAGCTTTCACTCCCTAGAGAGAATCCAGGCTCTAGGAGGATGCCTGGATTCAAGCCCCAGCTCTGTCATTCATTAGTGCTGTAACTCTGGACAAGTTATTTAACCTCTGAGTGAGTGAGTGAGTGTTGGCGATCTTGGTGATGTAAGAATGCAGCCTGCAGGGGAACTGAAGGGCCCTCTGAGAGCCAGGTGTCAGGAATGTTTCCTTTCTTTCTTTTTTTTTTGTCTTTTGAGACGGAGTCTTGCTCTGTTGCCCAGGCTAGAGTGCAGTGGCGTGATCTCGGTTCACTGCAGCCTCTGCCTCCCGAGTTCAAGCAATTCTGCCTCAGCCTCCTGAGTAACTGGGATTACAGGTGAATGCCACCACACCCAGCTAATTTTTCTATTTTTAATAGAGACAGAGTTTCACCATGTTGGCCAGGCTGGTTTCGAACTTCTGGCCTTGTGATCTGCCTGCCTCGGCCTCCCAAAGTGCTGGGATTACAGGCGTGAGCCACTATGCCCAGCCAGGAATGTTTCTTTTCAATGGAGGTGCTATGGTCCAAAATGTCTGTGTTCCCCCAAAATTTGTATGTTGAAACCTAACCCCAAAGGTGATGGTATCAGGGGGACTTAGGGCCTTTGGGGAATGATTAGGTCATGAGGGTAGAGCCCTCATGAATGGGTTGGGAAAGTGCCATTATAGGTTGAGCAGGGTGGCTCACGCCTGTGATCTCAGCACTTTGGGAGGCCGAAGTGGGCAAATCACTTGAACTCAGGACCAGCCTGGGCAACACAGTGAAACCCAATCTCTACCAAAAATACAAAAAATTAGTCAGTCCTTGTGGCATGGGCCTGTGGTCCCAGCTACTCAGGAGGCTGAGGTGGGAGGACTGCTTAAGCCTGGGAGGTGGAGACTGTAGTGAGCTGAGATCCTGAGACTGACTGCACTCAGCCTGGGTGACAGAGTGAGACCCCATCTCAAAAAAAAAAAAAAGTTTTTTTTAAGTACCATTATAAAAGATGCTTCTTCGGTAGGCAAGGACCAGGAAAATATTTTTAAAAAAATTTTTTTAAAAGGCCCCAGAGAGTTGCCTTGTCCCTTCCACCATGTGAGGCCACAGCCAGGTACCACCTATGAACCAGAAAGTGGGCCCTCATCAGACACTGAATGTGTGGGTGTCCTGATCTTGGACTTCCCAACCTCCCAGACTGTGAGAGATACATTCCTGCTGTTTATAAGCCACCTAGTTTATGGTATTTTGTAATAGCAGCTTCCATGGACTAAGACAAAAGGAAACTCAAATTATAACTCCCATCCACTTTCTACCGGAAGATAGGGGAGTGATTTATGCAATGGTTGATTGGGAATAAACTAGGTATGTGTAGCCTGGGCTTGCTCTCTTTTTTTTCCTCCTTGGAGCAAGCTTCTTGCTAGACTCGAGGGCAGAGTGAATAGGAGGTAGAGTCTACAACTGCCCAGTCTGCTTCCTGGCTGGGTCCACCTGGCTCTCACCCTAAGCTACATCCTCCAGTCTTTATCAGTAATAGAACTGGCCAGACTTGAGGTCTCCATCTGTAGCTCCTATTTTTTTATTTCCCAATTGATTCAGAATGATGGCAGAAAAAGGAATGCTTTTTAGTGGGCTCCTTAAGAAAGTCCCACCTTATTATTTTTATTTATTTATTTATTTATTTTTGAGACAGTCTTGCTCTGTCACCCAGGCTGGAGTGCAGTGGCACAATCTCACTCACTGCAACCTCCGCCTCCCGGGTTCAAGCAATTGCCTTGCCTCAGCCTCCCGAGAAGCTGAGACCTACAGGTACACGCTACCACACCCAGCTAATTTTTTTGTATTTTAGTAGAGATGGGGTTTCACCATGTTGGCCAGGATGGTTTCAATCTCCTGACCTCGTGATCTGCCCACCTTGGCCTCCCAAAGTGGTGGGATTACAGGTGTGAGCCACCGTGCCCGGCCAGAAAGTCCCACCTTCTATAAAGCACTCGCCACAATGCTTGACACATGGTAAATGCCCCATAAAAGTTCTTTGCAGTTGGAATATAAAAGCAATTTAAGCTGGGCGTGGTGGCTTACATCTGTAATCCCAGCACTTTGGGAGCTGAGGTGGGTGGATCATCTGAGGTCAAGAGTTCAAGACCAGCCTGGCCCAACACGGTGAAACCCCATCTCTACTAAAAAATACAAAAATTAGCCGGGCATGGTGGTGTAGACCTGTAATCCCGGCTACTTGGGAGGCTGAGGCAGGAGGATCACTTAAACCCAGGAGGTAGAGGTTTCGGTGAGCCAGGATCATTCCACTGTACTCCAGCCTGGGCGACACAGCGAGACTCCATCTCAAAAAAAAAAAAGATATTAATATTAGTTTTGCCAACTAGAAAATTTTGAATTATACATGTGGGCAACATTTTCTTTCCACTGGATAGCATTAATATAGAGTGTGGCTTCATTTTTTATGAAAAACTTACTGGCATATTTTTTAAAGTATCTAGAAGAAAAGTTAAGTAATTTTGGCAGGCAAGTGGCTCATGCCTGTAATCCCAGCACTTTGGGAGGCAGAAGCAGGCAGACCACTTGGGGTCAGGAGTTCAAGACCAGCCTGGCCAACATGGTGAAACCCTGTCTCTACCACAAATAGAAAAATTAGTCTGGCATGGTGCTGTGTTCCTGCAGCCCCAGCTACTCAGGAAGCTGAGGTGGGAGGATCACTTGAGCCCAGAAGGTTGAGGCTACAGTGAGCCGAGATTGTGCCACTGCTCTCCAGCCTGGGTGACAGAGCAAGACCCTGTCTCAAAACATTAAAAAATCTAGGCTGGGCACAGTGGCTCATGCCTGTAATCCTAGCACTTTGGGAAGCCAAGGTGGGTGGATCACCTGAGGTCAGGAGTTCAAGACCAGCCTGGCCATCATGGTGAAACCCCATCTTAAATAAATAAATAACATTAAAAAATTAAAAAATAAAAGACATTTTGGCTGGGCGTGGTGGCTCATGCCTATGATCCCAGCACTTTGGGAGGCAGAGGCTGGCAGATCACCTGAGGTCAGGAGTTCGAGAACAGCCTGGCCAACATGGTGAAACCCTGTCTCTACTAATAATATAAAAAAATTAGCTGGACATGGTGGTGGGCGCCTGTAATCCCAGCTACTTGGGAGGCTGAGGCAGGGGAATCACATGAACCTGGGAGGCAGAGGTTGCAGTGAGCCAAGATCGCACCATTGCACTCCAGCCTGGGCAACAAGAGGGAAACTCGGTCTCAGAAAAAAAAAAAAAAAAAAAAAAAAAAAGAGACATTATTTCTAGGTAGTGTATTCTAGGTGATTCTAATTTTCTTCTAGGTTTTTTTTTGTTTTGTTTTGTTTGAACCTACCTGGTTTCCTAGAATTTCCACAATAACTTACATAAACATTCTAAGACTTCAGTTCAATATATGATATCCAACCTTGAGCATCAGTGATTTTGTGATGCTGTGGAGGGTGCTAGGGAGAGCTGGGGTGAGCTGATGAAGCCTCATGTCTGGGTAAGCCTGGGCTAGGAGCCACACCCAGGGTGGCAGGCCACGACTCACCTTGCTGCAGGGGAGTGTTGGGGGCTTGGAGGAGCTGCCAGAACTCCCTTTTCCCAGCTGCTTTCCCCATCACAGAGATCAGGTAGGGGCCTGACAAGGAGGCCTGTGTTTCATATCTACAAAAGGCAAAGGCGAAGAGAGAGAGAGAGAAGAGGCGACTGTTGTCCCTAGCGGGAGAGGCAGAGCTCACCCACAGCAGCAAATTCCTTTCGTCACTTCTTAAAACTCTGGGCTGGCACTAGTCAAACCCTTCCTGGGCCACCTGGCCACAGGTCTGTGTCGCAACCTCCACCTCCTTCCCCTCCAGACCCCCCCCGGCCGATCCTGCCTGCTCAGGCTTCATCCTCTCCACACTGACCATGACCATGGCCTCCAAGAAAGGGGCAACTATTATGTTATCAGCTCAGCAGCTGTCCCCTCTCTAACGGGCTGATGCTATGGGGGATGAGAATTAGAAGCTGCAGGCATCACCTAGAATGTGTACAATGAGAGAGGGTGAAGCCTGCATGCAGAGAGAGGCAGCGTCATAGGAGGTGGAGGCAGAGACACCCAGCAGTGGCACTGGGTCTCTGTGGCTCAGAGGCACTCCCTTCCCCTCTTCCTGGGGCTGCATGGCCCAGCCTCCTCTCTGATTCTACGTACCGTACACCTACTGTTGCAGAGAGGGCTGGAGTTCTATTTTTTTTTTGGTTGTGGGGGGAATGGAGTCTTGTTCTGTTGCCCAGGCTAGAGTGTAGTGGCATGATCTCAGCTCACCGCAATCTCCGCTTCCTGGGTTCAAGAAATTCTGCCTCAGCCTCCCAAGTAGCTGGGATTATAGGCGTGCACCACCATGCCCTGCTAATTTTTGTATTTTTAGTAGAGACAGGGTTTCACCATGTTGGCCAGGCTGCTCTTGAACTCCTGACCTCATGATCTGCCCACCTCAGCCTCCCAAAGTGCTGGGATTACAGGTGTGAGCAACTGTGCCTGGCCTGAATTTCGAATTTTGGCCCTGGCAACCAAGAGACTCCTTACTCACTCTCCCCCTTCCCTGAGCTTCTGGCTTCCAACTCTGATGAGTTCCTGCAGTCTATCTGGATGCCACTGCCACAGGGAGCCCCTTAAAACTCCGTGGGCCAGGTCCTTTCTCCCTGCCACAGGAGGAAGCAGCATGATCGGAGCTTCCTCTGGAAGAGGGGCTTGAAGAGATGAGTGGGATTTGCCAGTGGAGAAGGCAGGAGAGCGGGGCAGAGCTGAGGAGGCAGAGAGAGCAAAAGCACACAGGTGCACAGAATTTGGGGGAATGGTTTTTCAGAAGAGTGGGGTCCGGCCAGGCGTGGTGGCTTATGCTTATAATCTCAGCACTTTGGGAGGCTGAGGTGGGTGAATCACCTGAGATCAGGAGTTCAAGACCAGCCTGGACAACATGGTGAAACCCCATCTCTACTAAAAATACAAAAATTAGCTGGGCATGGTGGTGGGTGTCTATAATCCCAGCTACTCCAGAGGATGAGGCAGGAGAATCACTTGAGCCTGGGAGTGTAGGCTGCAGTGAACCTAGATCACACCACTGCGCTTCAGCCTTGGCAAGAGAATGAAACTCTGTCTCAAAAACAAACAGACAAACAAACAAAACAACAAAAAACCCACAAACCTATTTGGGGTGACTTAGGCGAAGGGAAAGTGCTGTTCTAAGGAACGTCACAGAGCAGCTTCTTTTCCCATTCCTTAATTCTGCAGGGCCACGTGGCTGTTCGGGGCCACCACTCTCTACATCTGACCGTGTGTCTGCAGTTGAGCTTTCTCTGCTGTACATTCAGGGGCCTCAAACGTAGTCTTCATGCCCGAACCTCATTCAGGCATCCAGGAACACTAACAAGGGAACTATTTCTCAGAATGGTGTCCATGATGTCTTCCCAGAGATCCCCAAGCTCTGAATAAAAACGTTAAATTCTATTTGTCTTTCATTTTGATGCTAATATTGAAACACGAATACCAGCAGGTTCTGGGTAATCTTAGTCTGTGGGTCTGAGCCCTCCCCAGGACACTCAGCCTGTGTGGCCGTCAGTGACTATGCACTGCACTATGTACCACAGGCCACCAGGAAGGGGACGGAGGTGGTCCTCACAGTGAATGAAGTGGCAGGGCAGGGCAGGGGTGCCCAGGCTTCACTGCTCAGGTTTCACTGCAGCTCAAATACAGGGAGGTGCTAAAGCGCAGGCCGGCACCTCCGCAGAGAGTCCTTATTTAAATGGTACTGGTTTTTACTAATTTACAAAGTTGTTGGGGATTTATAGCTGTCTAGAGCTAGAAAGAGAAAGGACCCCTTTTTTTTTTTTGAGTTGGAGTCTTGCTCATGTTGCCCAGGCTGGAGTGCAATGGCTCGATCTTGACTCACTACAACCTCTGCCTCCTCTGCGCAGTGGCTCAAGCCTGTAATACCAGCACTTTGGGAGGCTGAGGTGGGCGGATCAACTGAGGTCGGGAGTTCAAGACCAGCCTGGCCAACATGGAGAAACCCCGTCTCTACTAAAAATACAAAATTAGCCTTGGTGACGCACGCCTGTAATCCCAGCTACTTGGGAGGCTGAGGCAGGAGAATCGCTTGAACCTGGGAGGGGGAGGTTGCAGTGAGCCAAGATCACGCCACAGCACTCCAGACCAGGTGACAGTTCAAGTCTCTGCCTCAAAAAAAAAAAAAAGTTAGCCAGGCATGGTAGCACATGCCTATAGTCTCAGCTATTGGGAGGCTAAGGTAAGACAGTAGGGTTGCTTCCTCCCCAGAGTTCAAGACTGCAGCGAGCCGTGATTGAACCGCTACACTCCAGCCTGGGTGACAGAGTAAGACCCTGTCTCTTAAAAACAACAACAACAAAAAAA